GGGGGGGGGGGGGATTTAGCTAGCCATTCACATGAGACTTTAAATACACGAATCTCTCACTAATAACTATAAGGTCTTCTCCTGAGTCGCTCACCACTGCTGCTGCTGCTCTGATTTCTTCTAATATTCAGGGTAAGTTATACCATAATGAAAATATCATGTGTCACAAGAGTTCCGATTTATTCAAGTTCCTAGTCTCTATAGCCAAGTGTTAGTCTAGGTCAAATCTAGTGCAGCTTTACAGTAAGTAGTGAACACTGCAGCTGTCGCTGGTATTTCTATGAGGGAATCCCTGCTATGTCGTTACTTCTGACAAGGTCTCAAAGCAAACTTTCGAAAGTGGCTTTCAGGCTTTGACTTCTACGACATCTTGAGCTTTTTGATGGGCGCTTGATGTAACCCGAGGCCTGAACTGGCCACCATAGTATCGGTGAAGCCGCGTGCTTGACCCACGGCTACGGCTGAAAGGCTGGTGTGATAAGTGATGATGGCTCACTCTTATGGACTGGCGTGGAGGGCAAGGTCTGCAGGCTTTGCTTGTTTACCCTGACTTTTCGCTCCCTGTCATGCCAGCTCACTACAAATTGGATGTATTAGTGTGTTGTGTCAGAGGCAGTTACAGGTTTAGTTCTGCTCTAACACCTCCATCTGTTCATTAATGTGAAATGGCATGGTTGAATTGTTAAATGTCGTTGATGCAGCTCAGAGAAAGTGATTGAAAGTGTCAAGGGAGGGGATGTAATGACAAATATAACACAGCTAATTGGCTTTAAATTGTTTTCATTCTCATTTTAGCCAAAACTGTAACTTTATCTGTGGATGCCACAGGAAAACAAACAATAAACTGATTGAATTAATCCTAAAGGGTTAGGGTGGCGCAGTTCTTTTCAGTGTCCACAGGTCCCACAGGTTTTTTTTCCTCACTTGGCTGCAAACCTCTGCAGCTTATCTGTCTCTGGCATCATCATGGCAATATGATGCGAGGACACGCCAAAGCATGAGAGACATGTGTCCAAATATAGCTGCACAACACCCCTCGTCACCCCTTTATAACAATAGTACGGATTAACTGGTCCTGGAAGAATAGTGAGATGTACCTGATAGCCCCTGTGGAAAATTAGTACAACATTAGTTAACTGGGTGGATTCACCATCTTCATCATGCCAACTGTAGAAATTGCTACTGGAACTTTGCTGGATACAGATAAATAATATGATAATTTGTATTACGTGAAGTTTGCATAAATTATGGAATAAAATTATTCAAAAAATTATATTTTTGCTCAAAAGGTACCAGAAGTTGTAACTATGTCTGAGGGGTGAGTATAAACTTCACCTTACAGATTCCCTCATTTTACTGTGTATTATCACTGACCTATCACTGTTTTTACACTGTTTCTTGTGGATTCCTAAATAATTAAAAAAATATTCTTTTGTTCACTTTTCATGTCAAATGATGAGGAAGACCGGTGAGGAAAAAATGTTTTGTTTCATTAATAATCATCAGTATATATTCAGACGTTTTATGAATTTCATCCTTAAAATGACCTTTAAAACCTACATTTATAGTTGTATGTAAATGTATAAAGTGTGAATTTCTTTGTCACAGAGAAAGCCAAAATATACAGCAACTCGCCGACTGCATTTGAAGGTGAGTCTTGTCGCCCTTGAGGCCATATGTGAACAGTATTTAACAGCATGCTGCATGATTACCCCCGCTGAGGACATTGTGTTTTGTCCCCTGTCCATTTGTTTGTTGTTTGTATGTTTATTTGTTAGTTTGTAAACCAGATTACACAAAAACACTGAACAGATTAGGACAAACTTGGTGGATCCAGAAAAGGCTAATTACATTTTGCTTTGTTATCCTCTAGTCCAAACTGCTGAAGAATGCAGCTTCTATGCTGGTGGCTGAAAATGAAGAGAAAAAACACGAGAAAGAAAGAGTTGTGAACGAGCGTTTCCCTCCACTGAAGCTCTCAGGTCTGTCCGTCCAGGAGCTGCAGGTACTGACTCAACGAGTGAAGCTGATTTGATCATTGTTACTTTATTTTCTACAGTATATTCTTCATGGTTCTTTTTTCTTTGCAGGATCTTTGTAAAGACCTACATCGTAAGATTGATGTTGTAGATGAAGTACGCTATGATATGGAGGTTAAGGTAGCCAGAAGTGAGACTGAGGTACAGTTGGTAACAAATACAATATAAATACATTTACTGACCTATCTGGATGAGTTAGTTGGATCGTTGGTTCACCAGTGAGCGTGACGTTTGTTGCACAGATCCAGACACTGAATAACAAGATTGTTGAGCTGAAGGGGGTAAAGCGGCCCAACTTGAAGAGGGTGAAGAAAACGACGGACGACATGCTGGGTGCATACACCGAAACCTCCAAACTCATGAAGGCGGATTTCAAGGTCAACCTGAAGACAGTGAAGAAAGAAGATGACAAGGTAAAGGTGTTGGTGGATACAAAATCAAGTGGCATAATAAACTACAGAATAAAAAACAAACTATTGTATCATTACTTTCCAGAGGGAAGAAGTGACCGACTGGCGTAAGAACGTGGAGGCCATGTCTGGTATGGAGGGCAGGAAGAAGCTGTTCAATGCCGGACAATAAGAAGCTGCTCGTGTTAAACAAGACGATGTTAACAACACATTGATTCTAAAGAAAATTTTGAGTTTTCAGTGTTTAATTGCTTTTATAATTAGAAATGTAAAGTTTTTTTGTCTTTATTTAAGAATTAATGTCCACACAGAAGAAGACTGAAACAGAACTGGTTTGTTGGTGTCAACAGAACAAATATTAAACAAATGCACTTGATTGAATGTAAACCTGTATATAAAGACTGCCACTGTACGCCACTGTAATAATATGAATTTGCATTGAATACTGAAATTGTGTATTTGACTGAAGTAGGTTTGATTTTTTTTTGAAGAGCAGTATTCATATTATACAGATGATGGTGCTGTCCCCCTATCTGTAATACATGTGATGCTGATTAAACCAGCACAACGACATGTCTGTTTGAGTTCTCTGATTTGTTCAGGTTTCATTTCAATGTAGTGATCGACTTTGTTTCAATAATAGCAGAACTGATTGGGGTGTATTAGATTCACAGGCAAACAGATGTTAATTCCCAGAGTCCAGGCTGCTCTGACATCCTGTGATCTTGAGCAGTGGGAGTAAGTTAGTGGTGAACCTGCTGCTGGGGGGGGGGGTGCAGTGATTTACAGTTCACTGGATCTCAGGACACAGGAGGAAGCATTTAAGTTTGACACTCTTAAGGAAAAAGGAGACAATCAAGACTGTGACTTGAGTTTTCTTCCTTATTTCATTCATCTCTATGTAAAGTGACTGAGAGTCTAACCCCGACAGAATATCTGAGGAGATTGAAAAAGGTATGTTGATTGATATGATGATGACTGTGAAAATGTATTAGACAGTTTTACCTGTCGTCTGGAAGGGAATGGACACACAGAGACAATGGAAAAACATACACATGCACATTTACTGTAAATGTAAGATTTATTTCTGGTCTTTTAGAAAACATTGTGTTTGGCCTTTTGTTGTAACAACGCTCTACATTTTCACTTATTTTAACAAATGCTTGGCAATAACTTATTCTGATTTAGTTTCTGATGTGGCTGCATTGAAAACAATCTGCAACACACCTGTAGTGTTTCTAATTCAAAGTCTTAAAGTTGGTGTTTTCAAAGAAATTTGAATAAAAATAGAAAAAATGAAAAATGGTTCACAAAATGAATCACACAAAAATTAAAAGATGTTTAAATATCAGTTCATTTATGAAAGGTTGTGCTTTAAAGATATGGTTGTAAAATGCTAAAGCTATCTTGCTTGTATATATCGCTTCTATATAGGGGCTATGCTTCTATAATGCATTTTTTCAGACTTGACTTTAAAACCTTATATCATTTTTTTAGCTGACAAGAGGCATTCAACCATGTCTGAGGGGTAAGTAATAATATTTTTTGATTATTTTAAAATCAATGAATCATGTGTAAAATTGTTGTGATCCTTAACTTTTCCATGATGTCATTATTCACTCTTGTATCCTTATTTCTTTCTTTTCCATATCTCAATTTCTTCTACAGACCTGTAAGTTATTCTTATTACTGCATATCTGAGGATTTCTTTTATTATTATTTAACTTTCAAACCATGTGGGTCTTTTTATATATCTGTTGGTTCAATAAGTTTTCATCTTCTGCCTCTTACGTAGAAAAAATCAAAGATCTCTGCCTCTCGCAGACTGGCTCTAAAGGTACCGTCTCTGTATTACAACATCATCTCTGTGTCCATCTGACCGATGACAATGTAGATGATTTAGCAGTAAATCACACAATCCACATGTCAACAAAATGTGCCACTAAAACTGTGTCTGTCTTTCCTAATTCTAGACCAAACTGCTGAAGATGGCGACAGTGATGTTGGAGAAGGAGAAGGAGGAGAAGAAACTGGAGAAAGAAAGTGCTCTGAGTAAGAGAGTCCCTTCTCTCCAGCTGTCTGATTTGTCCCTGCAGGACCTTCAGGTATGTTCAGGTCACTGCACAGGCCGCAAATCGTACGTACCACAATGAAACGACGTGAATGAAATGCAGCCCTCTAGATGCCAGGCATACAGTATGTTCACATGCAGGAGGTGCAGAACAGGGGCTGTGATGTCTGCATTTTAACTACTCAGACAAAAGTTCAAGGAAATAGTAACCCCCACTAACAGATCAAATATTACTGAGCATATTAAATATGTAACCTGACACATGCAGCAGTAACAGAAGACTTTCAATACATTTGATCCTCATCTCTGTCCATAGGCTGTGTGCAAAGACCTGCACCATAAGATCGATGTGGTAGATGATGAGCGCTATGACATTGAAGCTAAGGTGGTGAAAAATAACAAGGAGGTACGTTTTCTTTCACATTCATTCAGTTTTGGATTGGTTTAAAGACTTTCGGAATCTTTTTTTCAGAATACCAATTTTTGAATTTATTTTAAATTGTGATCTTTTCATCCATTCATATGCTTTACCTTGCATTTCTACTTGTTAACCGCAGCTTGAGAATCTGGCTCTGAAGATCTTTGAGCTGAAGGGCAAGATGAAGCGGCCCGCTCTGAAGAGGGTGAAGATCTCAGCCGACGCCATGCTGGGAGCTCTGCTGGGCTCCAAGGTGAAAGAGTCTGTGGACTTCAAGGCCAACCTCAAGACTGTGAAGAAGGAGGAGGAGAAGGTGAGAGCGGCAAATACAGCCAAGTCATTTGCCTTTGATTATTCTGGTTTTTAAAGTTTTCCAGATGATATAAGTAGAGGTTAAAGGGATAGTTCACCCCAAAATGAAAATGTACTCATTATCTACTCCCCACTATCACTTGTAATCTTTTCTTTCTCTTCTCAGAAAGAGGAGGTGACTGACTGGCGTAAGAACGTGGAGGCCATGTCGGGTATGGAGGGCAGGAAGAAGCTGTTTAATGCAGGACAGTAGATCTGTATTTTGGGATATTTGTAATATGAATGCTCTTTTAAAATGGACAGAAATAACACGGCAAATAGTTTTTCTGCACACAATTTGCAAGCAAGTGTGAGTGTGCAATATTCACATTTAAAATTCAATTCAAGATTCAAAGGAAGTAGATTGTGTTTATTTTGCATAAAAAATCCCTCATACCCACCATGGAAATCAGCATTGTGAAATGTGCTGTGTTTGATTATCTGTACATTTGCAGTGAATCCTGGTTTATCTAATAATAATAAATACTTCGGATGAAAACACAAAACTGATGCTGTACTTTTGTCTCTAAATATCTACCTTCTCATCACCCTTGTGGTGCTTGACGCAAGACTGGGATCACAAGTCAGTTGGTAGTAAAAATTCTAGGACATGGCAGTTGACAACAATAACAGCTGAGAACAAAGTTGTTAAATCATCTTTGCAAATAAAATCAGAACTGCGAACGTCCCAAAATAAGAGAGGTCGACGGTTCAGGGCTGCAATAAACCGCTCAGTTAAAACGTCAAGGAGCCGTCAGAACACACGGTGACAATCAGCACACCAACTCCTAAATAGAAACATTCCAGACACAGTTAGAGACATACAAAACATATTGATAATAACATAATAATTATAAAACGTTTTAAAGCAGCGTTATACAAAAACTACCATGAGGATTTCCTGGAAATGTGGTGGAAGGAGGTGGTAGGAGTCAGGGAAGAAGCCAGTCAATTTAGGTTCGGATCCACAAATTTGTTTCATTTTATTATTTCGTTTTATTAAACCCCCCCACCACCACCCCCGAAAAAAACATGTACATTTAGGGAACCGATGAGTGTGTGACATATGGTGCAGTGTAATTTAATTCAAGGGGACTGTTAGGTCTTGGTGGAGGTATATGCTGTACTGAGTTATATGTTATGATCATAAACTCTCTGCAGTATGTTCAAAGATGCCATTTACTCAGATTGCTAACCCCACTCTGGATGAACCATTAAGACTCACTCCACTGCTGCTCTTTCAGTGCTGGTACAAATGTCTTTGCAAATCATGAAAGAGCAACATTTGTTTTGTATGACTATTGATGATTATTAGTCAGGTCAGGCAGTCAACTCAAGAGGCTCTGCTCCGTCTCCACAATAATCAACTATATCCACTCTGATGCTGTAAATATTCACCATCTCTCTCCGGTAATGCCTCTGCTGCTATTAGAACTGCACCTGTCTTTTCAGCCCCAGCATCCACCTGCAGGCTCCAGCAGAGAGGTTCAAATACTTGCTTATAATTTCTATGTAAATATGTTCTGCTGCGGTAATTAACATTTCAAACATGAGTTGTCTTAATAAAGTAGACACTAGGTCAGACAGCAGATGAATGAATGACTGATCTCTGCTTTCTTTTCGAGGTGAGCCTATTTAAAAACTCCAAAAGGACTGTAGTAATACCTGTATGTCTGTGACAGCACACAAACCCCAGCCTTCTGGTTAGAAGTCTGATGTACTACATGTCCACTCCAGCTTCCACACTCTCAGTTGCCACCTTGCTAAGAGACATTATATCCTGCAAATTGATTAATCATCAGGTGAGACGTTATCCAATGTAGACATAATTCTGAGGGAGGGTTTAAGAAAAAAAACTACTGGTGGTTTTATAGGAGGTAGAAGAGCCACTATTTTTGGACGTTGATCAACTGAGAATAAGAGACAACTTCTGGATATCTCAGCCTCTTCTGCATCACTTCTGTCCAGTCTTTGTTCTCATCTTCTGAGAGTTCCCCAACTTCATGGAAGGTCAATGCTAAATCCTTGTGGTAGCACTTTAACGCTGTAGGTTTAAAGCAAAGCTGAGAGTCGTCTTAAGATAACATTTGTGTGAACTCCACTATTCTTCATGAGGGCCTGAGTCACAGAGTGACTGAGCATTTGACTCCTTGTTACAACAGAGGCTAGCTCAGTTTACCAACCACCAAGCCTTGACCAGCAGCTGTTCTTGTTCCTCTACTCCCCTAAATAAAAAACCTAAAAATAAAAAATAAAAATCCTTGGCTTTGTTCTTAACTACGAGGTAGTCCTGTAACGTTTTAGCAAACTGCAGGAGTCAGCGATCACACAAATGCAGTAGAATAGTTATGGACAGTCTGATGGATTGAGGATATGCTCCGATCATTATAATCCAAACCGTTTGGATGATCTGGTGATCAAGAAAATAAATCAGTTTGAAATGAGGAAATTAAATTATAGCATCAGAGAGATGTGAGACAACATGTCCCAAAATAAATTACTTGGACCATAGATGTATTTGCAAATCACTACAAATATCAATACCAACCATTTTTCATTTTCAAGCTGATGTGGCCACTTTGAACACAGTTATGTAATTTTGGTGGTGGCAGCACTTTGAGCACGTCTATACACGTCTAGGGCAGGACGTCTCGACATGATCCAGATTCACATTGGGTGCTGCTTTATATGTTCAATAAATGAAGGTGCAGTACGATGAAATGCAGATACTGAAGTTTGATACATTTCTTCAGTTTTAAGATTTGTCTGAAAATCCATCTGTCAAGACGCTGACCCAGCCTGAGTTTGGTCAGCCCTTTAAATACTCCATGCCACCTCCAACAACAGGTGTTGTTGAACCCAGGCAAGATGGCCAAAGGTTTAAGCCCATAAATGCACTTTTATTACCCCCTTTCCTGTCTGAATAATGTGGAGATGCACAACAGTAAATGTCAGAGTTGGTGGACACACAGTAGCAGTAGCACAGATAGCGAGGGGTCTATTTTCAAGAGCCATCCACATTTGGCACAGACACTATAAATCTGATTTTTCTCCTCGCTGCCCCGGCCCTTCAAACACTCTTTCCTTCAGCTCTGAGACTCGAGGAGCTTCACTAAGGTACAGAGATGATCTTCTGATTCTTGTTGATTAGAGTAGATTGAGTGAATATAAGTCATTTGAATTGGATTCTGTGATAAGGAAGTATTCTTTCAGCATGGTCAAATCTACTAGTATCTTAGTATCTGGAAAAGCTCTAACGCAGAGTAATGTCTTGTGGTTACAACTTTAACCGCAAGCTGAAAATTGTCATTCAACATGCCTGTGGATAATCTGGCCTTTCACCTTTTTTGTCACCTTTGCAGAGAAGCTCATCTGTCGTGTTAACACCAGACACAGAATGTGTATTTTCAGACTTAGATTTGTCTTGTGAGAATGCATAATGCAAAGTGACACAGCAACATTGTTTTTT